TTTGAACTCAAGACATTAGAAGTGTCATTAGTGGTCCTCATTTCACTTAAGTGAGCCCCATCTCCTGAATCAAGAGATACTTGATAGACTCCAGAGAGAAAAAAAAAGAGTTCTTCCTATTTTGTTCTAAGGATTTACAATCACAAAGGATTCAGATTCAAATAAAACTTTACCTCTCTGCCCATCTATCATCTATCTACCTATATCTATCTCTCATGCTACATATACATTAAATGTTTAAAATGAAAATAATGCCAGACATGGCAGTATATCTTACAATCCCAGCATTCATGAGGCTGAGGATTGCCACAAAGTTGAGGACAGTCTCGGTTACATTATTAGTTTTATGCCAGCCTGAACTACCTGTCTCAAAAATAAAACCCTCTGTCAAAAAAAGAATGAAAATACCCGAATATAGACTGACTGTCAAGGATACATTAATAACATTCAATGGTGGAGCTCAGATGCTCTACTAAGTTTCAGTGGACAGCAGCAGGAAAAGCCAAGACAGGACACAGCTTGCTACATCAGCACTGAGTCAGCTCCTAAAAACTGAGTAAGATTCCCAGCCCTGCAGGAGACTGAGGATTAATCCACCTGCCTCTTATGGTTTGCATGAATAGGAACCATGTGATGGGGAGTTTTCAAAGCATTGCTGGAGCATAGTACAGTGACACACATTTAAGTATACATAATACGTATCTGTTAAACAAATTACATGGATGAGAAATAGTCAGAAATGTCACATTGTTATAATTTCACCACTATGCACATCAATGTTTGGAAGAAAATTCAGACACAGAACATTAGCAGAAAGAACAGTCTTATCAGAATCCAATCTTGAACACACTTGAGAGTCCACAAGGCATAAAATACTTCTTTACCATCAACACTGCATAAGCTGCTTGTATCTACCTTAGTACTTCTGTCTTCCCTTCACCTCCCCTTATTCTATCATGCCCCTGTAGGTCACCCAGAACTCAGATTTTCATGGCTGAGGTTCTTGTGAGCTACTTTTTGTTCCATTTTCTATTGCAATAATGGATTCTCAGATTCTTCAGAAAGAAGCACCTCCCCAACAAACAAAACTCTCTTCTAATAATTGATAGTAGTTTCAATTCACTTTTAGGCTATATGTCTCCTCCTAAATGATACAGTATAAGGAAGCAGAGAGGCCTGCTCTGCAACTGATAAAACTAAAGATAGCTGATCTCTCTGGGTAAAGTGATAAAGGTTAGGTCAAAATAGTTCTGTATTTTTAAAATGTAGATATTCTGTGTATGTATTGTCCTGGGAGAAGGGCATAATTAACCTAGTGGGTCAAGGGCAATCAAAGTCAGTTATTAAGACTCCGTTCCAGAAGCTGTGTACACTCCAGGGAGAGAAAAGTCAGCGTTTCCTGAGAACTAGCCATGCTAGGACTTGGGGGACTAACCAAGAAATCAACTAGCCAGCCTTTCTGGTAAGCTGCACAGGTTCCAGGGAGAGAAAAGTCAGTAGGCCTCCTGTGAGCCTATGGGCATGCAGGCTGAGAATCAAATGCTGTCCATATCCCCCCACACTCACCCTGCAAGCAAATGGGGGGGGGGGTGTCTGAGATCAGCCTGAGTTGATAGCAGTTAAGGAACACAAAGCAACTAAATGCTTGTATTATGTGTTTAATTATGCAGGCCTGAGACCAGTGGTCTGAGCATCTCTTGGAAGAATGATAGTATGCAATATAGCAAATTTGGGGGATGCTTTTCTGCTTTGCCTTTGAAGTCAAATATTATTTTCACTGTTTTGTTCTGATTAATTGTTTTGCTCTATTCAATATTCTTTTTTGATGGTTTTATGGTGTTTTGTTTGGGTTAGATTTTGCTATGCCTGATGGAATGGACAACTATGATAAAAACATATACTATGGTAACTATTACTGCTTTCCTGGTAGCCTGCTCTAAAGTTCTGTACCAATTTCACTGCATTGTCTTGATTAGCTTTGTTCTGTCTTGTTTTGTTGGATTTTACATCTTTAAAATAAAAGACTCCAATCCATGTTTGTGTTTTTCTTCCAGTACTGGGAATCAAATGTATGGTCTCATACATGCTTTACCACTGAGCTACCCATTTACCATCCCCAGCCCTCACACCATGCTTCCACGCACAGTGCATATTGTTTCTAAGGCAAAGAGTACAAGATGGTCAGTACATGGAGGCTGCAAGAGTGAGGCAGTGTTAATAATAAGAATTGTGGGAGTAAAAAAACCCCCAAAAGTGTAATTGTTATTAAAAAGAGAGGAAAGGAAGGTGGTTAAGGGATATAACTGCATGTATGTTTGAGTGTGTAGGATGGAAATCCATATTACTGAACTTTTGTTGGATCATTGATTGGCACTATCTGCAATCTCATTGTATGAATGTTCACTTTACATGCTTTAATTTTATAATTTGGACAACTATTTCTTTTTTTTTTTTTTTGTCTTTTTTCCTTTTTATCGGTACCAGGGATCAAACTCACGACTGCCTGCTTGCAAGGCAGGTGCTTTATGCCGCTGAGCTAAATCCCCAGCCCCTGGACAACTATTTCAAAGATGACAATATGTAACCTATTAACTAGTGATATCTTACTGTATTTTTTTCCTTGAAATTCTGTGTTATTTGTACCCTTTTACTGCTTTGTCTTTATTTTATTTCCTTTCTTTTTTTCTCTCTTTAAATTAAAAAAAAAAAAAAAAGAGTGAGGCAGTGTCTCACGGACAATTAAAGCCACCAGAAATGCTAGAGAAGAAAAAAAAGTTTTGAAAATTGCTAAACTTCATATCTTTGCTCAATAGTGACCCCCACTGTGCAACATCCTTAAAGGAGATCCAGCAATCTCTGTGGATAAGCCCTTCAGTGAAGGAGAGCCTCCTCACACTACTGAGACTTCCTCTATATTGGATCAGACACAGTAAAACACTGCCTACCTACCTACCTCTCCCTATCCTGCCGGTGAAATGGGGAGGCATTTCTTCTTCATCTTTTTTTTTTTCTTTTTTTTTTTGGTAGGATTTCCCAGCGATCAAATTCATGACCTCACATTTGCCAGGCAGGCACTTATGCCCCTAAGCTATATCCCCAGCCCTTTCTTCACCCTTTCAAGGATGTTGCCTGGGTCCTTCTCCAATAACTGCCCTCACTGGGGAGTCACCTTGCTAAAGTCACTTTTCCTCTTTTTTGGGTACAAAGACCTGTCTCCCTTTGCCTCTGCAAGACGGTTTCATCTGAGTCCTAGAGATTGGCTCAGGCCTTTGTGAGGCTGCATTGTGGTCCCTCTGCTCCCTTTGGCCAGTGTTGTTTCTTCACGTCCCAGAGCACTTTTCTGTGAACTTCCTATGTGAAAATTTCCACCTCTTTATCAGCTTCTCAAGAATCCCAATCTGCAGTATGCATTAAGTATAAATTTACCCTGGTGTAAAGACTACTTGTCTTAATTCTGACCTCAGATGCTATGTTGATTAAGAAAAGTTTTGTTTCACACAGTGGCCTTTCTGACAAGGCAGCTATTGTGTGTTTTGAGGAAGAAGAAAGAGGAATCAGACAACACAAAGCACTAAAGTCAGGAGAGCGTTGTGTCTTAGAAACCATGCCTGTATCGCTGCTGCCAAATTAGGCTGGAGACATTCCTACCCACAGAGCCAGCTGGCTGGGAATTGTTCCATAGACAGTTTACTATCACCAACTCTGAAAACACACTGTATTAGATTTCTATTGCTCCCATTTAAAAATGCCACACACTTGGCAGTCTTAAGCAAGACCCATTTACTAGTTCTGGAGTCTACTGGGTCTCAACCAAGTTCTCTACTTGGTTGACTCAGGATGTCACAGGACAAAATCAAGGTTTCAGTGGGACTAAACTCCTTTCTGCAGGGTCTGTGGACAAGAGAAGAAAGTCCTTTACCAAGTTTATACATGTTTGCAGAATTTGGTTCCTTGGGTTTTCAGAGGTGCAGTCCAAATTTGTTTGCCGGCAATCAGCAAGGGTCAATCGCAGCTTCTAGTGACTGACCCACATGCCCTCAAGAATAAGGACTTAAGAACACCAAGCAGACTGTAGGACAGTGTTCAGGAAACACTAAAAACAGAAGAATTAGGCAAAAGTCTATATACTAAGAAATGTGACCGCCATCCATTATTCACCTTCTTCAGCCACTTGGCAATCACAATTGCAGAAACTGACCCCCCCCCCAAAAAAAACTACATGTTTAACCTATTACGGATTAAGTTCAGTCTATAGTCTACACAATCAATGTTTTCTCATATTTAAAATATCATTTTTCAGTTTCTTCATTTATTTTTCCTCTATTGTCCCCCCTTATCATTCTGACTGGCACTGGGATTAAGGCCAGAGCAGAAAGTCACACATGGATCATTGTTGCATGATGGAAAAATACCCAGCTAACTTTCCTTTTCCCCTTCCTTTTCCCCTTTTCTGGACCACAGACACAAAAGAATCCATGGAAATAGCTAATTGTCTGAGTCAGGAGACTACCTCCTGAGGTCAAATACAGTATGTTTTTAAACAAATAGATTCCCCAAAGAGGAAAGCAGGCGCACAGCAGGCAGGTCAGCACCCACCTTTTGTTCATCTTTGTATTTCTAGGGACCAGAACTCAGCCTGGCAGATAACAGGTGATCAATACATGTTTACATGGAGAGTGAACTTATGTGGCTTTCTGGAGCCGATATTAAACATCTGGCTTGCCTCTCTTTTCTACACATTTCCCAGTTTTCCGTGGAGCAGTCAGCCTCAGAATCCACTTAGAGCCTCCTTCACGCCTCTCTTGATCACGGCGCCTGAAACTTCAGGTGGCGGCTTCCTTCGCTGGGGGCGGCGCCTGGACACCGGTGTCCGCGGCGCGGGGAGCCTCGGTGTCCCCGACGCAGGGTGAAGGGCCGCCTCCCGCGCTAGGCGGCGAGAGAGCGCAGCGCCCGACGGCTCTCCGCACGCACGCACGGAACTTAGCCTTGTGGTTAGGCTAGCAGGAGCAGTCGGGGGACCCAGCCGTGGAAGGGCGCACCCCGGACCTGGCGAGCCTTAACGAGGGTGGGCCGACTGAGCGCCCCCTGGGGTCCCGGAGATACGAGGTCCTGAGGCGGTAGGAGGACCGGGCGCCAACACCGCCGGCTCCGCGCCTGGGACTCCGCGCTTTGGCGGTCTGGCGGGCGTTTCCTTCAGCCCGCGATCCGCTGCTGTGCTGGAGAGCGGCGGGGTGAGACCCCGCGGCGCGCTGCACCAGCCCTCAGTTACCTGCTAAGCACCTTCGCAGCGATTCTGGAGGGGGCATGTTTCAGGTGGGCAGGGTCAGCATCCCTAAGCCTGCCCCCCGGAACCTGGAGGACCTGGACTCCGTGCAGCGTGTCCTGTTACACAGGTCAGTGTGGCCGGGGGCTCGGGAAGGACCGCCCTTGGTGCTCCCGGGATTCCGGAGGGGGAGGGACAGCTTTTCTTGTTGGAGTCTTGCAGAAGCTTCTGATTTGGGGGTTCTCTGTGCAGCTTTTGCTGCAGGAAGGGGCGCTGTGGTCCTCCAACCCCTTCCAGAATCTTGCCCTGGCGATCCACCCAGCCCGCTGCAGAGACGCCAGCCCCGCGTGGGTGGGATCATCCATCTCCTCCAAAAAACACTACTTGATAGAGAAGGGAAAGAACACCTAAACAAAGCTGTCTTTGAAACACCTCTAGCTTTCCTCCAGGAACATATTTAGCTGAGAGTTTTGTTTAGACTTTAGTTGTGAATGCAGTTAGAAGGAGCCTCTTCCTTAAATCATCTAAGACCCCACCCCCTCCCACACCAGGAAGTGCACGCGTGCTTCCAAACACTACACAAAAGAAATTTAAGTGGTCCCCTAAGAAGGATCAGAACTCAACTTTCCATAAACTGTTACTGTATGCACTAGCTGCTAGGACCTTTGTGCAACCTTATCCTTTATGCAAAATAGACTAACAAATATTAAAACCATGGTAACTGTGATGAGTTTATAGAATTAAGAATCCACATGAAGAACAAAATCTGTTTGAATTTTAAGAGTGAATGGATGGAATGCCAGCCAGTTAACGCTGCTTTGACTTTGGAAAGGCCTGACCTTCATGAGATATGATTTAGAGAAAAGAAAGGGGGAAAAATAACTAATTTAGAAATACTGTATATCAACAGTTTCTCTTGAATACATTTGTGGTGAGGAGTAGAGGATGTTCAGTAAATATCTTTCAGAGGAAGGTTTATGTGAGTTCTCTCATCTGTAAACGTTTCAAGTGACCCTTTTAAGACTGTACAAAACCAGATGAGCTGTAGAAATCCTGTACCATTGGAAGTGTGAGTAAAAAGACGTGGGAGGAAGAAACAGTTTCTTCTATTTAAGAGCTGTCTTCTGAAACTTAACAATATTCTACAGTTTTCTCCATTTCAGTTTCCACCCCTCGAGAGCTGTTGCCATATAAAATAAAACATTATCACATGAGTGGTTAACAGAGTGTTCTGTTAAATTCTGAAGGACAATTCCCCTTGTATTTGACAAAATTACAATCCAAAACTAACCCCAAGAAGCATTAACTAGAAACTCCTTCACAGCATGACTGGCAAAGCTGGAAAGAGGAATTTGTTTCAAATGCTTAAGACTTTGCTCTTAGAGAATTTCTTTGTACCTTTCATGTTTGAAATGTTCAGTGCCAAAAAATTCCAAACTAATTAACACTACAGAGTTTCACATCAGAAGCACAAACCTGTTGAATGAGAAAAGAGAACGTCATCAAAACTGAGAGGACTATTTCGGAAGTAGTGGAGTATTTCTGGAGTAAACCTGCTCAGTATTAGAATGAAAAACTACTTCATCTGAATTACAAATAACTGCTCCCATATGCTTTAGAGACCAGAGGAATCTGAAGCTATAAATGTGTGTGTCAGTATCGTGGCTAACAGTAATTTATTTTTAACAGAATATGAAACATCTTTTGCTTTTGCAATGATTTTTATTAATGTTTAGTATTTTCAAACACACTTGTTAAAACTTTGAGACATCTGTAAAAGTTTCTCTTTCTTATGATATAGCTATATTTTCACACACATTCACATTTAATCATGTTTCTTATTTACATCTATAGATTCATTTAGACATAAAGTAAAAGAAATTAGAGAAATCAGATAACTTTTAAATCACATGCATTTCCTTATCATTGTCCTTATGAGCTAGACTGGTGCGTGGCTTATGTTTTAAAAGTTAGTTTTGAAAATTTTTAATGTTTTCTTTCATTGTAAGTATCAACAAAATGTTGGCAATTTCATTAAACAGACCAGTGGCCTTAGGGATAAAATTCAGAGACAAAAGCATAGTGTACTATTCTATTTTTACATTTTATTTCAAAGGGGTTTTAAAAATTACTTGTATATTTTCCATTGCAAATATAGCTTTCACAATGTAAAGCATTAAATTGCTGCATTTTTGAAAATAATCCTTTTGCCAAACCAAAATTGATGAAAAATTGCAGACTTTTTTCTGCATGAGGTGTTAACTTTAAAATGTCAATGCTAAAATGAGATTTGCTCAGTCAAAAAAAGAAATTCAGCTAGTCTACTTTTTGGGAAAAAAAAGTTCATGTTGTCTGAGCCAGGGGAAAGCTTCAGTATTACATTTCTTAGTTACTTTTACTTAAGTAAATTAACTTTTTGTTCATCTTGATTTTAAGGGGTATGCAAATAATCATGTTAGCGCTAAGTATTTTGGACAGACATTTTTAAAATATTCATGCACAAAGCTATTGCAATTTAATCTTTAGAGTCTTGTTTCTGTTGTATATAGTCATATGGTTTGACAAAACTTTAAAGGTCTCTACTTTCTTAATTTTTCTGCAACATAAAGGCGAGGGATAATACTTCATAGGATGGTAATACGAATTTCCAATTACATCCAATGCTCTATAAAAATACATTTTTGTCAGATAAAGGGATTATGTTAACAACTGTCCTAGAAAGCTGAACCAGAACATAAAAAGACAGTTACCGCTAAAGGTGCTAAGACTCAACTAAGTGACTACCCAAAGCCTAGTCGCTAATGAGTAGTGCTGGTCCAGGATAAAGTGCTGATTTTCTTTTTACAATTAAGGCAGCATAAACTAGAGTTCAGCCTCCCAGCACCTCAAACTAATGACTCAAATTTCATGCTCTTGCCAACAGAAAAATAAGCATATTCAAAACATCTCAAATATCTAGAATTTTCAGGGGTAAAGATATGTCCTATTAAATAATATTTTTGTTGTAAAAGAATATGCAGTATCTTTTAAAACTCTAATAGTGAAAACTAAAATAATAATTAAAATTTTTGAAAATATAGCATAAAGCATAGACTGATCTATTGTTTACGGTAGAAGGCATTAGAATTTGGAAGTTATCTTATTTGAATTTTAGCAACCTTGTAGAGTGGAGGAGACTATTTTTGCTACCTTCAAGTGAAGAAACTTACTTTGTCCATGTTCACTTCATCATTAGTGTCAGAGAGTTCAGGTCCTCTGGCAGGGGATGCATGATGTTTAGGAACTGTCAAGCATCTGGACAGTCATTGTCAAATCATTAGAAGTTTTGACAGTGCTGTGATTCTTTGTAAGATGCTAGTAGAGCTTTTGACACCCGTTGTAAGGGATAGGTTTTTTCTAACTCTTATTCTCCTTTATGTTTCCTAATTTCCTCTTCATTGGTAAATTGTGAGCCAGTAACAGTTTCTGGGCTGTTATACTCTAGCTTTTAGGGAGCCTCCTTTCCTTCTAGCTGGCAACTACTAGTTTACAGCAGGAGAACAGTTCATCAATTTTTTAATAATTTATAAATGATGATATAAAGTGCAATCAAAGTAAATGAATGGGCTTGGGGTTTGAGCTTTGCCTTCTGTAGTTACTTTCATGCCTACCTCTGGATTTTTACCTGCATTCCATTATTATTCAAACATAGGGTACATGATCTTACAATACTTAAGTTTCATACCTTTTGGCAAGTAATTTATATAAGAAAATAAGAATTTAGGCCATAATTAATTCCATAAATTTAGCATTGCTGAAACACTTTTATTTATTATGACTTTATCTTAAATTTGAAAAGTTCTAATTACAAAGTCTCAATTTTAAAAGGATATTTTACTGAACTACCAAGATAGTTATTTTTGACTTAAGAAATAATTGTGCTTATCAGTATTACTACATAGTTCTTGAAGTATTTGTATTTATGGTTAAGGTAATATTAATGACTAACAGACTTTTACCCTATAGTTTAAGGTTTTTAATGAAGATGACCTCCTGTGACCTTGTTTTCACTTACTGCTCATTGCTAGCTACTCTTCCATTAGAGAAAGAGCTCTTGAACCTGCTAAAGAAACTAAATATTTAATCATGTTCTTATCTGGTGTATTTTATGTCAGAATTGTATTGTTTGCCTAATTGAGATGATAATCTATGGAAATAAGGAACCCATGTCTCATATGTCTTCAACTTAACATATTTGAGCCTTAGAAGAGATGGCTGGCCGTTTGTGTACTTGGTAATAGAAAATATTGAATTCTAAATCTTTTAAATCTTCTTGTAATTACTAATTATGAAACAGAGAGAGGATTTTCATAAAGACCTGGAAAATGGCATTCTGCTCTTTTCCTTGTTTGATTCTCTCCTATTAATAAGATTAGTACAGGTAAGATATATAAAATTAGAAATATTATTAGTTAACACTATCTCCTGAGAATTAAGAATACCAAGTGGTTGCTATTATTTTTTTTTTTCTGAGTGATCAACCAGGTGGCAACTTTCTGTTGTTGTCTTTTGTCCATTAAACTAACACATTAAACTTCAACCAACAAAGTTGATACAGCCCAGGGACATATCTAGTAGAAAAACATTTCTTCGTAGTTATATTTTTATGGGGCTTTGTTTCCCCTCCATTTCGACCATGTGAGAGATGAAAGATGGAAAATAAATAAAGAGCTGGATTTGGTTGTCCATGTCTATAATCTCATCACTTCCAGGAGGCTGAGGCAGGAGGATCACAACTGCAAGGTTGGCCTGGGAAATTTAGCAACTTATTGGTATCCTGTCTCAAAATCAAAAATAAAAAGGGGCCTGGGGATGTAACTCTGTGAAGGCCCTGGATTTTATTCCCAGTACCACAAAAACAATGAGTCCTGTTCTCGGACAGATTGTCATCTGGTGGCGAACATAGATTTATTCCTAATTTCAATTCAAGACAGACTAACATTAGTTACACTAGCCCTTTATGAGCTGTATTATAAGGGGAAGATGGAAAGAGGAATTCTTATAGCGGTACGAGAGGCATCTGGGAAAGCTTTTTGAAAAGTGCTGTTTGAATAGAGTCTTGAAGGAAAATGTAGTAAATGTATTTCAAAG